TGCTGGTTTTCTTCTGTTTAAGTAGCTGCTGCCCAGTGAGAATTTCCATGGTTCTGTTGCATACTCTTGGGTTGTCGGGAAAGTCATGACGTATTTTTTTCTATGTTTTTCGTTGCAAAAATGCGTCATGACTTTTCCGACAACCAGTAGATACTGAGAGACTCCTGATGGTTTAACCCTGTAACAAGCACATAGACATGGTTTGCCCGAGTGAAACAAGCTAACCCTTCCTTGGGGGACTGGGACTGCCACTCAGCAAGAGTGCCCCCAAGAGTTTCTTAACCTCATAGCAGGTTGATGCTCTGATGTGTTTATGCCCAGAAATACCTGATCAAAGAACTTCCTTACTGAGACTCTTAGGAAATCCTCACATTTTTAACTCAACTGGTTCAATGCCATGACATTGAAAACCAGGCAAACACTCTACGGAGCTTACTCTAATTCTAAACTCCGGCAAGCAGGGTGGAAAGCTGTGTGCAAATGGAACTCCGTGCTGGTTTCCTACTTTGCAATCAGAGAGCTGGTTCTCCGTACACCACTGGAGCGGAAAATAGCATATTTTTCCCCAACATCCATGCAAAACTGAATACAGAGGTTGCTAGTGATCAACGTCCCTTCATTTATTGATTTGACATGTGTGTTTGGGCGCCTCCCACGTGGCCATCCCAGTAGTAGGCATTGGGAACTGTGCAGGGAACAGAATCCGTGCCTCTGCCATGAAAAAGCAGAGACGGCCATGAGGACAGGGTGGATGGCCTGGGAAAGGGGGCAGAGAGAGTGAGGGCTGGAGAGCTTCTGACAGGCTGAGGAGGGCATGTAGAGACTTGATGCAAGGTAAGGCAGCGAGTCCTAGAGATATGGTGGCCGTGGGGACAGTGCTGCTGACAAGGGCCATGGATGCGAGCACGCCTAGGGGGCTTGAGGAGCAGCAGAAGCTAGAACTGCTAAGCTGGGGGTGGTGAGAGGCAGGGGGTGGAAATATCATGGGAGTGGCGATTGAGGCAGAAGCAAGCCCAGCCATGCAAAGCTTTGCAGGTCATTGTAAGAACAAGACTGGATGCTGTTAGGATGTCCTGAGGAACGGGGGGTGGGGACACGAACTAACTTAAGGTCTAAAGGAATCACTCTGCACAGAAAGGGCAAAAGGGGAGACTCACAGTGAAGAAACCTGGCAGACACCACCTCAGCCAAGCAATCAAGGTTAACATCACAGGGATGTCATGTGGACATCACGTGTCCTGGCTGCGATGGGATGAGAAGGGCCCTTCACTTTGGTGATGTTGTACCCGGAGTCCCCAAATCCCAGACTGACTGGGGGCAAACATCAGACAAACCCACATTTCAGGGTCAGTCTACAAAATACCTGACCCGTCCTCCTCAAAACCATCAAGGTCATGAGAGACAAAGAAGGAACGAGGAATTATCACAGAGCAAAGGCGAGGAGGCAAGGTGACTCGATGCAATTTGGGTTCCCGCATGGAATTCTGGGACACAGACACTCACGGAAATACTTGGGAAATCAAAATACAGTCTCTAATATAGATAATAGTATTGTACCAACTTCTCAGCTGGACAAATGTACTGTTGGTGTGTAAGAGGCTAACATTAGGGGCATCTAGACGCAGGTCATGTGGGAACTCTCTGTAGTGTCTTTGCAATTTTTCTGAACTCTAAAATTATTCTAAAATTAAAGACCTGTGTAAAAAAAGGAAAGAAAGAAAGAAACAAGATAATGTGCCCATTTCCAAGACAACTATGACAACGAAAAGGACTAGTCACGTGTGAGAAGTGACAGTCACTGAGATCAGGTTGGGAGAAGCGGAGGTGGTGACAAGGTGGATGGTTTTGGACTGATTTTGAAGGACGAACTCACAACATTTGCTGATGGGTTGCACGTCGCTCATGAGAGGGAGAGAGGAGGAAGTGGCTCCGGAAAGCATGGGTGTGTCAGTGAGGGAGGTGGGCCAGACAGGCCACGGGGCAGGATTCAGGAAGAAAGACTTCACCATGCAAGTGCGAAGCCTCAGATGCCTGTTAGCTGCCCGAGCAGAGAGGGGACGTGGACGTATTGGAGTGAAGGAGTCTAGAGCTCAGAAGAGAAGTGAAGGTTCGAGGTACAAACGGGGCATCACCAACAAGAGGCATGCAATCCCCAAGAAAGTGGGAGCGAGCCCCTGAAGAGTGCGTGGGTGGGTCCACGGGGGTGAGCGGAGGAGCAGACAGCAGGGAGGGCAGGGGCAGGTGAGCGGGCAATCTTGTCCATGACCAGATAAAACGCCCAGATAAAACAAACTCTCCCGCAAATGAAGATGGAGGCTTACCAGTCAGGGTGGTGTTGGGTAGCCAGGGCTGTTGAGGTGGGGGCTCGCATGCAGTGTGTGTGTGCGTGTGTGTGTGTGTGTGTGTACTTACACATGCACACATACACGTGTATGCATCTCACGCTGCACAATGTCTTTCCCTAACATAACAGGGTCCCGTTCCAAGATCCTTGGGCGTTGCTGAGATTTTTGCATCGTCGGCTGCATCCATTCACGAAAACACACTTGTAGAGTAAACCACAGGGGACAAAGGGGAAATATTCTGGAAAGGGCTTGGTCTGGACATTCATACCACTGGAATAATGACGGGGGTGGGGTACTCAGGAACAACTCCTTTGGCTCAGGGAAGTCCACGCCCAAATAAAATCTGCCCCCAAAGGCGAGGCTCACAAGGATTCAGCAGTCAGTGAGAAGAACTGTTCTCCCTGCCCAGTCTGGCCTTCCTGTGGCTTTTTGAGTCCTGCAGAGAGAGCTCTGGGTAAATCGTGCAGGAGATTGGAGAGCCTCCCATCACACTCCCCATGGCACTGGGAGATTACGACCCTGCTGGGAGATTCTGACTCAAGTGAAATCTGAGGGTACAGGATCCACATTACTCTTTTAAGGGGGTCTTTTTAAAACTGTTAGCGCACACAGAAGCAAAGAGACTGCAATATCCCACCCAGTCTTTCGTTTGCTCCATAGCTTACTCGTTTTTGATCCAGTCCTGCTCCAAGCTACAGTCCTAGACTGTCGGGACTGTAATTTGCATGGAAACTCGGTACTGATGACAGCACCCCATCATCTCTCCTTCCTCGTGGGTACATTTCTCTTTGCCACCGTGGGGCATGGACTCAAGGTGAAACTGGAAAAGGTGATTCAGGCGGTGATATTTTCAAAGGATGCTGTGAAAGAAGAAACCACTCTGGGTGTGTGTGGTAAGGAGTGACTTCTTTCAGAGGATCGTTGCCAGGGATGGAGGGTAGGAGGGGACTGCAGCAGTAGAAGGGGGGTGACTACCGACAGAAGGAAAACATCTGACCATAAAAACTGCAAGGGTTCCAAAGGTGAGGCAAGAGGGTTTTTCTGTTATAAGGAGGAGTAAGCAAAGCTAGAAGACCCAGATGTGAGGGAATGGGATGAAAGGGCCGCCTAGCTGGACACTAGATCAAAGAGCAGTTTACCCCGAGGCCAGCCTATTCTCAGGGGAGCCCATGTGCTGGCTCAGGGTGACGGGGGACCAAAGGTCAAGGCCCTGGGGGAAGATGAGAATCAGAATTGGATTAGCAAGTGTGTTAGTCTTATCTGGCAGCTGTGACAAGATGCCACATTGATCATTTTGCAACCTATGCATGTAACAAATCTTCACATCGCACATCTTATACGTGCACAATGTTATAAGTCAATTATATCTCAATAAGCCTTGGCAGGGGCGGGGGTAGGGCGGGTGGGGGGTGCATACCTCCGACTGGGTGGTTTATAAACAAGAGAAAGTTATTTGTCACAGTTCTGGAGGCTGGACGTCTGAGAGCAGGGTATCAGCACGGTCGGGTGAGGGCCCGCTTCCTGGTTCACAGCCAGCGCCCTCTCACTGCGTCCTCACGTAACGGAAGAGGACAAAGAACACTCAGGGTCCCTGTTATAAGGGCGCTGATCCCATTCACGGGGACCCCACCCTCCTGACCTCACTGCCTCCTAAAGGCCCTACCACCTAATACGTCATCTTTGGGATTAGGGTTTTGACCTATGAATTTTACAGGACACAGACATTCAGGCCATAGCAACGACCATTTTGTTGTGATTGATCAGTGGGGACGAGCTTTTCAGCTAAACCTTTTTGAGGCTAAGAGCTGGAATTTGGAGAGTCTGTGGCCGGCCTTGTCCTAGATATACAGGGCAGGGGAGCGGGTTGTCCATGCGTCCTTTAGTCACAAGGAGTATGGCAGTTCTTTGTAGTAAGCTTTTCCCCAAACACCATGGAGTGAGGGTTTCTATTTTCCAGGATCATGGGCGTTGGGTCAAGTTTGAAATTATCCCTCCCAAAGAATGAAAATTCAGACGTATGTAGCCCAAGGACAAGACAGGAAGGACCTTTACAGGTGACACACAGAGGAGCTACACAACCAGGAAAGCCTGCTCTTAATTCACCCCCGGAAAAACACACAAATAGGATGAACGCCATCTGGCCACTTCTTGAAGTCAAATAACTGCCTTTTTCTCATGTCCCAAAGATGAGCAATCCTGTGGCTAGAAATCCCACGACCTGTGTAAGTGACGATGAAAATGCCAGTGCCACCCTGCCAGTTAGAGCCTCCTGGAGATGAAAATGTACAGGAATATCAAACATGTGCATCCCATGTGCCTTGTGGCCTTTCTAGGAGATGAGATGTGAGGGTGTGACCTCAGAGAGGCAGCCCGGCCCTCGTCTTATGAGCATTGCATGCTCAATGCCTTTTCCTCTTGACTTTGGAACAAATATGTTACGGTTCCCCTTTAAAAGGTCAGTGCTTCTGGAGGGACCTCAAGCTGAGAGCTGATCAGCAACCTGCAAGACCTAGAGGGTGTTATGCTGAGTGAAATAAGTCAGACAGAGGAAGTCAAAGACGGTAGGTTCTCACTTATATGTGCAATCTAGAAAACAAAACAAATGCACAAACAAAACAGAAACAGTCTCACAGATACAGAGAAAAATACTGACGGAGGCCAGATGAGAGGGTGGGGGGAATCGGTGAAAAGGTGAAGGGATTAAGTAATACCAATTTCCAGTTATACAAATAGTCGCAGGGATGTAAAGTACAGCACAGGGAATATAGTCAATAATACGGTGATAACTATGCATGGTGTCGGATGGGTACTAGACGAATTGGGGGAGAAGGGGTCACTTTGTAAGTTATCTAAATGCCTAACCACTCTGCTGTACACCTGAACCTAATATAATACTAGATGCAACTGCAATTGAAACATAAATTTAAAAAGAGCAATTAGCAGGATTCAGCTAGCGATGCAGCTGTGGAGAGAAAGAAAGGGAAAGCAGCACAGAGAACTTCCTCTTTGTAAATTTCCTAAAGCTGAGCAGAATCTCTCCTTTTATTTTGTTCACTGTGATGATGAGTGGACAGAGGTGTTTTTACTGGGATTGGGTTTATGTGCAGGACCTCCCTTCTTCAAAGTTCCCGTGCCTTCCATCCGCCCTAATCCCTGGGGAGACTGCCCCTCCTCGCCAGTCCACAGGCAGCCGGATACTGGGACCCTGTTCTCTGGGTGTTTACGCAGTTTTCCATCTCCACGAAATCCAAACTGGATATTGTTTCTCTTTAAATGTCTTCTGTCCACATGATAGTGCTGTATGAAAAGACCAAGACATATCCTGTTTTCAATGTAAGGAAACCTTCAGAAACAAACAGAAAAAAAAATGACATTGACACTGACAAGCATTAGGATTGTAGCAATTTGTAGAGATAAGGAATTGGATTGCCTGTATTTATTAAAAAGCAATGGCTCGTGTGTGCAGAAAACCGCACCATTTAGGGTTTACGTTGCTCATGGCGAAGGCACACATAAAATTACCACCACCAAAATACACACGCAGGATTGCAATTTTCCATATTACTTTGCTACCTACACAGTGTGCTTGAATCATGTGTAATTTGACTTAGCTGCACATTCAATCGATTACAGAGAAAGCAAGCAATCCTCTTATCTTTGTGATTAAATGCTCCTATGTATCTGAGACATGACTCTATTAAGACGGAGTTCAACAAATCAAGAAGCCACTTAGCTTCCGCTTTCTAAAGGAATTCACGCCACGCCAGGGGTCACTGACAGTACAATCTCTAACCACCTAGCAAAAAAAGACATGTCTGAAAACTTTCTGGCCTCCCCTGATGTGGGTGAATGTTGCTTAATCAAAGCCAGCTTGATTTTATAGCCTGTGCCTCTCGATCCAAGAACAGAATTCAACGAACATTGTAAAGTGGTGTGAAGTGGTTTAAGCTACATTTGGATCCACTTACGTTAGAAAGCCATTTGACAAAGTACATAAAATTAATTTCTGATGGAACACATAGAATCTACATGTATTTTTTTTAAACACACTTGAGGCTGCCAATGCACACAGCCCCCTACGACTGTCACGCTGGTGGTGCGGGTGAGGCAGGAAGAGAAATGCAATGAATACTGATTTTTTAGAAACAAAAAGGATGATGAACAGGTGTTCACAAGCGATCACCCTAATCCGGTAACTTATATCCAGTGAATCCAATATCCCTTGTGCCAGTTTTAAGCACACTTGCAGCAAAGAGATTCAAGAAAGATGGAGAGGTGGTTTGAAGAGGCGGCTGCCTAAGAATTACTCACAACCAGTTCTTCCAGCTGAAATCTACAGGCAGGGCTCCCTGGGGCCAGGGCTACTTAACATTTATTTACATGATTGACATTCACAGAGCTAGCAGAGTTGCAAGTATTATTGTAGAGAAAACACAACCAGACTGTTTTTTATGTAAAGGTTTAGTTGGGATTTTTTTTTGTTTTTTAATGAGAACATTCAATTTCAATGCACATTATACAGAGAGGGGATGCCGTGTTCTTAGATTAATAACATTTTTATCAAGTGAACTCTCCATTCACCTCAAGCAGGTTGTCTGCACTTCAGTTCCACACAATTATTGAAGAGCACAGGGCACCCTGCTAAACGCTGCAGATAAAAAGAATAAAATATCATCCCTGTTGTCAGAGGACTCACAGCCTAATGGGGAAAAAAAAACACATAAGCAACCGATTAAAATGAAATACGGTTAAGTGCTGCCCATGGACAAAGGAGGCAACGCTTCTGCTGTTTTGTTTTGGCTTCACGGGAGGCTGCGGAAGGTACCAAAAAGGTGGGTACAGATTTAGTGACATCCGAGCTGGGCATCCAGTTCCGTGGGGTAAGAACAGGTGTCGATGGATAGTCTAGGCTGCAAGAGCGCGATGAGTAAGGGATAAAGCCATGGGCGTGGAGGCCGTGCCCTGGGGACCATGAGGAGTCCGGAGCTGGCGTGGCAGGTGCTAGCTGGAGCGTATCTGAAAAAAGTTTAATCATTTTTAAAAAAAAAAGCCACCGTTTTCCTCTCTCCCTGCCTAATTTTTCTCCACTCGCTCACATGTGTGCACACCAATCTCTGGTAACAGTTTTATGTGCATTCTGACACTTTTTTCAATGCATATATTATACACAAACACAATTCTATTCCTTTCAATAAAAGCAATTTATAAAATGTATAGCAAAATGGGTTTTAATTTTTATAACCCTGGGAATCTTATTTTAAAAACTTCTGGTGCTTTAGCTTTCTTGTTTTTTTGTTTTTGTTTTTTAGTTGGGGAATCAGGGGAAGGGAACAGTATTGGGGAATTGGGGAGGGGGACCAGCCAAGTTGTTGTTCTTCAAGCTTCATTGTAGACAGCGCCAGTCGACATCTGGCTGCCTGTTGGCAGCTCATGGCCTCTAGGCTCAAGGTGCTGTGTTCAATCTTTGTTGCAGGTGGGCGTAGCCACCATCCCATGCGGGACTCAAACCTGGCAACCTTGTTGCTAGGCGCACACACTCTATCCACTGAGCCATCCGGGCGGCAGCTCAGCTCAAGGTACCAAGTTCAGTCTTAGATGCCGGCGGGCACAGCCCACCATCAGACAGGCAACCTTGTTGTTAGGAACACGCGCTCTCACCAGCTGAGCCATCCTGCCACCTGTTGGCAGCTCAGCAGCAGCTCAGCTCGGGCACAGCTCACTGGCCCATGTGGGAATCGAACCGGCGACGCTGTTGCTCAGAGCTCGCGCTCTTAAGCTAATTCTTAACCAACTGAGCCACTTGGCCAGCCCTAGTTCTTCAGTTTTGAAAAATCAATTTTTGGTTTGAGAAATATGGATAAGCATAGTTACTGGGAAGCAGGGAAAGGGGCACCAGTTTGAACGGATACCACCGATATTTGTGTTAAGCATTAAAATGCAATGGGTGGTATACAGTTCCAAGAGATTCCAATTGTCTGACATCACACAAATACCCAGTAGAGTATTTCTAACCACCCCACATAGCCAAATACCCTAGATTCTTCCACAGAGAGTACAGATAACCAAGTAAGTCTGTCAACAAAGGTTGAACAAGTTAGTGAAGTTGCATTTGGTGGCTGGTTGATAGAAAACCATCTGAACTGGATAATTTGAATACATTTAAATGTTGATCCTTCCTGTCTCCCGAATGTCACTGAAATATTTTCAAGTTAAAATAACGGCCTGGTCTTCATGTCCCAAGCAAAGCCTGCATAGAATAATAACTGTGCCCCATTGTTTCAAGCATTTGTATTTTATTTTTAATCCTGTTCTCCCACGTCGGCATTTTCTTCAATGGTGAAGGGAAGTGTGCTCAGCCAGGGAACTTGTTGATTTTATTTTCTATTCCCTTCACTCCCCACCTTCATACTCTCAAATAAAATTGGCTCTAATGACTAAGTTCAGTAATATTAATATCCTTATAATTTTTTGACTAAGTTATTTCCACATAATAAGCTGGGTCAGGAGGGTGGGGAGGAAGCAAACCTCTGATTTCTTGTATATTTATTTTTTGTGTGGAAAAGTTACAAAGGCTAGAAAGGGAGAGATTGAATCACTGATCAACAGATGACTGAAAACGTGATTCGTAGGACATCACAAGATTTTTGCAAAGGTAAAGAACACCAGAACTTGCTCTTTATGACGCACAGCTGTCTTTTAAATGGAAAGAATAAAATCCTATTGCGTTTCATCTCTTCAAGAACCCACTCATTCAAGCATATACGTCTGGCCAGAAATAACTCCAGCAGCAGTGACCTTTCCACCTCTTGGTGCTTTGAGTTTTGTCTCCGAAACGCTTATGAACGTCAGTGCTGATGGGCAGAGCTGCCCTCTGGAAGCACAGAGCCTTTCAAAGAAGACTAGAGGGGCCATACCTCAGAACTGTCTATCTTCCAGGACTACTGTGTCAGCTAGCTATGGCCGCATAACAAATATCCCCATCTCAGTGTCTTAAAACAACAGCAATATATTCCTTCTCATGACTCTGGGGGCTGACTGGATACTTCTGTTTGTCCTGCCCTAGCTCACTCCTGGGGCTGCAGCCATGAGCTAGATGTTCTGAGATGCTCTTTGTCAAATGTCTGGAGCCTTAGTGGAGAGGCTACAATGGTTGGGATGGCCACCTCCCGCCCCATGTGGTTTTGTCATCCCTGGATTCCTCAGAAAAGGTGGGCTCAGGATTCTGGGTGCAAGAGTGAAAGCTTCAAAGCCACTAGAGGTCTTGGCTGAAAGATTCACCCTGTCCCTTTCCACTAGTCAAATGCAAACCACGAGGGGAACAAATAGAGTCTACCTCTTGAGGAAGGCGTTGCAAAGAATCTGAGGCCATTTTTAACCCACTTCAGGAAATTAAAAATCCTTCACACCTGCGCCCAACCCAGTCCTATCCAAGCCTGGACAAAAATCGATGAGAAGCCAAGAGCCTCCATTGCCTTCCAAGACTCCCACATGAGCACTGCAAAATGGGGTTTCCCAGAGTGCATGTTAAACGTGAAAAGGAAGGAGAGAATACAACACAGCGCAGTGCAATGTAACACACCACAATCGTAAAAAATGAAGAAGTGTAAAAAGCATACTTAGTTGGAGTCGGAATCACAGACCAGATAATTCTACAGAGCTTTAAATGTACAGACTTATCACAAAGTTCAGTGGTTCCTTACGTGATATACCAGCTTTAAATATAAGTGTTTATAAACGCAGGAGATAATGTCTTCAGTGATTCTCTCTGTATCATTAATTCCCAATTAATAAGGGAATTATGAGGTTGCTGGCTTAGGTATTTCTACACTTATGAGAAGAAGAGTTGATAATGGCCTCGTACAGTCTCCCCACCAATAAGTGGAGTCAAGATCACGTACATCATAGAACTTACTTGAAAATTAGACACGTTACTATGTGTAAATTTCACCAGTGTCTGAAACATAATAATTCATCTATAATATTTAGTGTGACAAGTATTATTATTAATGTCACCAACAGTTTCTCTGTTCAGTAGCAGTACATTTTAGATGTAATTTCAGAAAGCAGCCAAACAACACATCCTTGCTCTTCTATCAGGTATAATAACAAAGGGGGATGCACATAGGGTCTGATACACACACACACACACACACACACACACACAGAGGCAATTGGAGCTGCCTCAATCAGAACTTCCAAGGTGAAGGAGACACAGCCTACCTTTGGATCACTTAATTTCACAAATATATCCACAACGTCCGCCTTATGCCAGAGATTGTTCTAGAGGGTCTGTAGAT